TCTGAGGGTTGATTTAGTCTGATATTCCATAACAAGTGAAAAGATCAGACAGAAGTTTTGTTTCCGAGTCAGTGCCATCAACATTAGCTGAAGTTGCATAAGTAGCGGTTAGCTGTTTGAGAGGAAGCGCTTACCAAATGATTATTTTATTCATTGTTTGGTACGTCTACGTGCTGAGTGGTTGAAATTCTTCTTATCGGGAATTTCCAAATTTGAATGTTTCTGTGGCCATTTAACTCTGACGAGTAAAATGGAAAAAGTTGAACGAAGCATTGGGGAATGCTGCGGTTCCATTGCTGCTGATACCTCCTTCGATAGTTTAAATACTGCCAGAAGAATGCCATATCTCCCACCTCATTTGAGAGGGCCGAACGGTGCAGGTGCTTACACCTCTTACGGACAGTCACCAACCCGTCCACTGCGTAGCGCTGACAGATTAAAGCCAGATGTTTTCATTCGTGGTGGTTTAGGTGGTGGTGGGGTTGGGCGATGTGCTAGGTTTGTCCATAGTCGTCCCACCTACAAGGGACGGGTTTCAGATGGCTACTGTAGTGCATTTTCAAATTCAGCCACTCGAATGCAACGTTATGCATTGTCAAATAATACATCAACGAGAATGTCCATGCCACATCATGGCAAATTTTCATGTGATAGACGGTACGAAAACTATTCCTTAGTTTTCATTGAATTGTTTTGATGAGGTACCACTTAAAGAAAGAAATTAATGGGTGATTCCATTTCTAAATGTGAGATGTGTGAAAAAGCAGCTAATCATTATTCATGCATAAAGCAACTCCGAAGCAAATTGATTGACATCAAAGAGCAGCTCTTCATAAGTTGATGATTTCTCATTTCAGAACGATGCACGATGAGCAGCAGTGGGGATCACAGCATCAAGGAGGTGGTGGAGGATTCAGACGTCAAGAGAACGACGTGCCTGAGTTGGTTTTTCAGAGAATGCTTCCAGCAATTTGTTGTTTGCTTCGGCAAACAACTCTCATAAAACTTTCAACTCAAGCAAACATGGCAACAAAAATGACCGACCGTTTCATTAGTGCAAAGCTGATGGCTTAGTCCAAAGATTGAGGCTTACTGCAGATGAATTCACCTTCCATGATTATCACCCAAAAATTTAGTGTTGCATGAAATTCCAGTTTGGGATGTTCGTAACTCAGCATCATTATCAAGATGAGAGTCGATCTTCGAAGCCTATCTGACTAGAGAGCAGCTGGGCGTTGAATAAGACATTATAAGACGATAATAAGGCATTGAATAATAGCACTCATTCGAAATTTATTCGCTCGGGTCGTTCATCTCATTCATTCATGATCAATCGTTCAGAAATCCTCGTTGGGCTGCTCTCCGTGATCCAATTCCGG